GATTCTCATAGAAGGTTCAAGAGGCACCATGAATCTCCCACTCAACAACCTTAGTCTTCCTACAACCATTAGGCTATACTATGCTAACATTAGTACTAGCAATCCCTCGAGAACATATTATGCACATGATTATATACATTTTCTGACGAAGAGTTTTCTACATATCATAGAGCTCACTTTGTATGACCCTAAATGTTCTTCAAATGAAAGATTTGTTTCTCGCGAATGAAGCTTAAGGTCATTTACATGTATAAGTGACATGCCAAGATGCTCATTCTATATGTCTTGAGATTAGGATGAAGGCAAAAAAAAACTCTTTATAGAGGCACGACCTAATGATTTTTAAAATACCGCCAACATTTTTAATCTAGGTTGGGACTAACATTGGTGATATATATTTTTTTTGGTTAAGTTATTAATAAGAAAACAATATGATTGGTATAATACTCATTGTTAGCTTCATATAGCAAATATATCACCACCATGTATAGTGTGTATGCATTGAGCAAGTATCTTCCTACTTTTCATGGAGAAAACTAGTTGTGATGGCATGGAAGTATTTGATTTCTACAATCAAGAATAAGATCAAGTGATTTAGATGATAATCTTATGTCCTCTATTTGCTAGGCACTACATCTAAATATATTTAATTGGTCTTCTATGTTTGGTCAAAAAGAACCTAACAATCTGGCTGCCATTAACGCACTGAACTTTGTGCCCACACAACATATCAAACAAGAATCATACATACATGTAATCTCACCTCTATATGAATGAATGGGATTTTCTTGGGACAATGTCTAGAGATGATGCAGTTCACCCAAAGAACACACTCTAGCTGTGTTCATATATACATAGTTGATTTATGAATGAGTCGTAATACAGAATGAGCATACCATAGATAACTAGCTATAGGAAGGTCAAGATTGTTGAGTGGGAGATCAACAATGTCTCCATAGCCTTCAATGAGAATCATGTCATGGCAATGAACATCATGGGAATGAAGATCTATGATACATTTTCAATATTGGCCAAAGAACTTGCACTTATCCTTCAACACACTAGTGGTGCTACCAAACTCAAATTGAAAGGTAAAATAGAGGAGAATGAGGAAATGATAAATGCAAAGAAACAATAACATTTCCATTAAATAACAAGAAATTGTGGATTTTGAAATGCTTAAAAAGAAGATGTTGCGATAGTGAATTTTTAAGGATACACTTAATAGCTCGTTTTAATTACATTCAATACATGTTAAATTTTTCCAACAATCGCGGACTCACATGAAGTCATGAGCCAACCTAATTTGGCACAAACATCTTCAATCTGTCACTGAATTTGCTATGTTTAATTTTCAACGAGTTCATCTTCATGCCTTGACTATTACTCTGTGAGTTTGTCATGGTTTTGTAACTCATTTGAAGTGATCTTCATGGTTTCGACGATTATTTGTTGATGTGCATTGGCTATTACCTCTAGTGGGTTGATTGAACTTTGATGATAATTGACCCAACTATTGATGCTTGCCATTCATTGTCGCTTGCCCCCAAATTATGATAAAACTTATCATATTGTCTTGTAATTCTTCATTTTAGAATAAGAGAAGACTAATTATAGTAATTTTCAACGTGGATAATGATATTAGTTTTATTGATTTAAATTTTTGCATTTTGTTTTTTCTTTATTTTTAAGTAATTAATAAATTGGACATTTTGTGAGCCCTAATATCCATTTGAGTTGTGAGTAAAATTCTAGTGTACCATTAAATTTGATAAACTTTCTCTTTGTTATATTCACATTTGAGTTGCCGCAAGCCTTGGTCTGTTGGTGGTGGGGTCACTATAAGTTCTCTCAGGTCAAGGGTTCGATCTCATCGTGGCGCGGGAGCTCTGGAATTTTAGGCACATGACGCGAACTCTCATCATCGGGCCAAAAAACGCATGAGAAATCGATATTTGGGCATATGCCAAATATCAATTTCCATTATATATATATATATATATATATATATATA